AGAGAGAGAGAGAGAGATAGGAGGAGGATACCAGAAGAGGGCTACAGGACTGAAAGAAGGGGTGGAGGCTGGAAGAAGAGGAAGAGGGAGTGAAGGAGAGAGGAAGGAAGGAGGGGGAAGCGAGAGAGCAAAAGGCAGGCGAGAGAGAACACACAGGCAAAGCGATACAACAGAGCCTGAGAGGAGAGAGGAGGAAGCTTGCTATTGACAGTGTCCTTAAGCCTCCCACAAATAACAGCCATTAGTGGGAAGGTCAGGAGCTGAGCAGGCAGCTTGACTGAGGCACTGAGTGCCACTTCAGAAATCAAGAGGCTAGCAAATTTTAGAGGGAGTTTAAGTGGGTAATAGCTAGCTGTAAAGGTACAGTCACTGTTGACAATTGACTCATAGGGGCTTTTCCTGCCCTCCCCTTTCAAGAATATTTTTATTGACCACAGGTGGACTTAATATATTTTAAGGCAACAATTCTTTGGATTCTTGTTTGCTTCTTCTCAGATATTGAATTTGCTGCTTTTGAGACTTTTTTGTGCTTAATGGTGGTGAACCGGAGGGAAGTTTAACAGAAAAGCTTTCAGGAGATGTCGGTTCTAGAGGGGAAGGCACATTTGTGTCAACATAGTGTACGTTTTCTCATCTTTTCTCATTGTCCACTAATGACACAGAGCTGCCATTGAAGCTCTTTTCTGTTTCTTTTGTTGTTTCAGAGAGTAAGGTTTATTGTTATTCTTCAGTTAAGAAGGAGCAAGGAGAGTGGTACATTTGTCCTCGATATTTGTAGGTGGTTGAAGATTAATGTTCCTTACATTTTAAGTTTAGGAGGGATGGCTTTTTCCTGCAAAAAAAATGACTACTTTTGAGACGACATGAATTTAGCTTTCCATTTTGAAGTTACTGTTTATGAACAGTGCATTTGTTTAGTTCTGCTTTTCCATAAATAAGGTAAATACTATCTAATAAATAGATGTTTTCTTTTAAAAACGTTTAATTAAAAATACGACATGCTATCGAGTTTATATTTCATCAGGCAGGAAAACGTTATAGAATTTTCCATAGAGATCTAGAATGAAAAATGGAGTTTTTATATTCATTACTTTTTTGCCTGGAATGGGACAGGCTTTTTTCCTTCATCTTTTTCTTTTTTATGATTTGAAAGGATATTGTAGATGCTTCATCCAGGAACTTTAACAAAGGACTTTTTTCTATTTTTGAGCTTTAAGAAAAGGTACACTTTTTTCCTTTGCCATTCAATTTCTTATTACTTAACATCCAATTTAGTAATTAATGACCCAGGGAACTGGATGTTAAATAGGGTATATTTTGCAAATATTTACTATGTATCTTCTATATCAAAAATGCTAGGTTTTACTTATTTACTTCTTAGAGTGTAAAGTCATGTCCATATGCATATTATTTTCTTTAGGACTTTATATGTGGCTATGAATAGCCCAGTACATACTATATGACTTTTAGGAGTTAACATTTAGACAACAACTATACCAACTTTACATTCTCTTACAGATGAATATTTTTCTTTCTTCCAGTGTAACTAGAAAAAAAATGTTTAAGCATAGCAATTTACAAATGTTAAAGCAACGACTGATGTCAGATATTGCATGTTATACCTGAAAGCATTGTTGGGAAAAATTCCCTGGGAAGGGCCCCAGCTCTCCACGCCCCATGTACCGTCCGTGCTTATGGTGCTGCTTGGAGTGTGCAGAAGTGTGTATCTATCTGTGTGTCTAGAGAGGGGTTAGTGCAGGGTGTCATTTGGTGCCTGACAGTGGAACAGTGCAGTTGACTCTTAGCTCTGCTATCCAATGACATGCAGTGGCTGAGAGTTTGAAGCTGATGGTTGGGTCTCCAGTGCTGCCTGCACACCTGACAGGCAGCTGTTAAACTGAGCAAAGGCAAGCTCAGGGAGTCACAATCTATGCATAAATGATAGGGGTATCTGTGTAGAAGGTGCGAAAGAAGCTCTGACCCCCTCCCTCCCCCAAATCTCCCCCTTCCCAAATGAAATGCACAGTTCAGCCAGCTTCTTAACTACACTACACTCCTGCTACTGGCTGCCAAGAGGCTCAAAAAATCCACCTTCACTTTTCAGTCAGAAGAGGCAGAAGTGGATGTGAGAGAAAGAGAGACACAGAGAGACAGAGAGCCAAAGAGGGCAAGAGACTTGACTTTAAGAGACTCCTGTACTGACAACTCCATGCAGTTCGGAACCAGAACGACTGCGGCTGAACCTGGGTTCATGGGGACATGGCAAAACGCTGATACTAACCTTTTATTCAGAATGTCCCAACAGGTAAGTTACTTTCATTTTTTCCCCCCCCCCCAGAAATCTTG